CAACAGATGAATGAGTAAATAAACTATGGTACATACACACAATGGAATACTATGCAATGAAAAAGAAAAATGATGAATGTGAAACATCTCATAACATTAATGAATCTGGAGGGTATTATGCTGACTGAAATAAGTCAATTACAGAACTACAAATACTGTGTGAGACCGCTATTATAAAAACACAGAAAGAAACAATCTTTGATTGTTACTAGGGAGGAGACGTGTGGGGAGGGAAAAACAATGACTAGATAGTAGATAAGTGGTAACTCTGGAGAAGGGTAAGACAGTACACAGTACTGGGGAGGTCAGCACAACCTGACCAAGGCAAAGTCATAGAAGCTTCACAGACAAACCCAAGTGCCCTGAGAGACAGAGCTATTGGGATGAAGGCTGGGGACCATGGTCTCGGGGGACATTAGCTCAATTGGCATAGCATAGTCTATAAAGAAATAGTTCTACATTTGACTGTGGTGGGTAGCAATTGGGGTCTCAAAAGCCTGTGAGGGGCCATCAAAGTGCATCTACTGGTCCCATACCAGAGGGAACAAAGGAAAATGAAGAAGACCAAAGACACAAGGGAAATATTAGTCCAAGGACTAATGGACCACAACTACCATAACCTCCACCAGGTTGAGCCCAGACCAACTAGATGGCACCTAGCTATCACCACTCACTGCTCTGGCAGAGATCACAATAGAGGGTCCCAGACAGAGTGGGAGAAAAATGTAGAACAAAATTCAAATTTGTAAACACACACACACACACACACACAAGACCAGATTTGCTGGTCTGACAAAGACTGGAGAAACTCTGAGAGTATGGCCCCCAGACCCCCTTTTAACTCAGTACAGAAGTCACTCCTGAGGTTCACCCTTCAGCCAAAGACATATACCACACACACAATAACACACATGAGGAATGGGCTTCATAGTTCAATTCATGAATAGGAGACTAATGGGCACATCAGCCCAAAAGCAAAGATGAGAAGGCAGGAAGGGACAGGAAAACTTGACAAATGAAAACAAGGAACCCAGGGCGGAGAAGGGGAGAGTGTTGACACATCGTGAGGTTGGCAACTAATGTCACAAAACAGTTGGTGTATTAACTGTTTAATGAAAAACTAATTTGCTCTGTAAACTTTCATCTAAATCACAATTTAAAAAAAAAAAGTTAATTCTTGGTTCTCAATTCTTCCTGTTTTAAGCTCTTTCTCCAGGTGAGTTTGCCTATTCCCAAGGTTTCAATCATCATGTTGGCCAATGACTCCTCAATCCACATTTCCAACCGCTCCCTGGAAACTTCTTCCTGAATATTAGTGACTACTTCAAACACAAAATGCATGAAACAGGGTGTATTCATTTCTTGCTACCAAAACAAGGGACCACAAATTTAGCAGCTTAAGCAAAACAAATTTATTATCCAATAATTCTGTTGGCAGAAGTCTAACACAGGTCTCATCAAGGAGTTGGCATGGTTGTGTTCCTTTCTAGAGGCTCTAGCGGAGGACCCATTTCTTTGCTCATTCAGTTCCTTGTGAATGCAAGACTGAGATCCTGGTTTCCTTTCTGGCCGTCAGCTGAGGGTCATTCTCAGCTTCTAGCAGAAACCCACATTCCTTGTTTTGTGGCCTCCTTCCTTCATTTTCAAAGCCAGAAATGTTTTGAATCTCTCCTTCTTCTTCAGCGCTATCTCTCTAACCCACTTAAAATTTTTTATTATTTTGGGAAATATATATAACAAAATATTCACCATTTTAACCATTTTCAAGTGTACAAGTCAGTGACATTAATCACATTCACTATGCTGTGTAATCATCATCACTATCCATTTCCAAATGTTTTTCATCATCACAAATGGAAACTCAGCACCCCTTAAGCAGTAAGTCTCCACTCATCCTTCCCTCGCCCCGTGGTAACCTCTAACAAACTTTTGTCTCTATGCATTAGCCTATTCTAGATATTTTATATAAGTGGGATCACACAATATTTGTCCTTTTGTGTCTGACTTATTTCACTCTGTATAATGTTTTCAAGCTTAATCCATGTCGTAGAATGTGTCGGAACTTCATTTCTCTTTATGGCTGAAAAATATTCCTGTTATGGATTGAATTGTGTCCCCCAAATATATGTCTTATAAATCCTAAACCCTGTGATTATAATCTCATTTGGGAATGGCTTTTCTTTGTTATGTTAATGAGGAAGTATTAGTATAGGGTGTCTTTTTTTAAAACTGAATGATTTTTAGTAAGAAAAAAAATACACTGTAGATAATTCAAGGGAAGATCATGTACACTGGCTACTAGGTCTGCACTACAGCCTCCCCACCTTTCCTATCAGACTGGGCACTCACTGAAGACGGTGGTCTTGGCCCTCCTTCTAAAAACTAGCTGCCCTGAGGTTGATTCTGACTCAGGGCGATTCCTTAAAGACAACGTCCTCTGGATCTCCCTACAAGCACTTCTACAGAGGGTACCGAAACAGTGATAATGACCACTAGGCGAGCCTCTGCTTCTCAGGAACCCAAGGAAAACAGTGGACACTGACAGATGACTCCTTACAGGCCAGAGGATCCACCCCAATGGTGGCACACATGTCCCAGAACTCCACCCGGAATTCAGGATTCTTTCAGATCTCCTGCTTGTGTTTGCTGGCAAATTCCTCCAGGTCGGTTTTGAACACGTCCAACTGCTTCGACATCTAGGCCAGTTGGTCTTCAGCCAAGACAATCTCTCGCTCCTTATACTTGGCCTCCGCAAGCTTCTTTTTGGTGATAGCGCCAGCTTCCACTCCTCAGCTTCCGCAGTGCCGACTTTCACTCCTCACTGAGCCCCCGGGCCGCCCACTGCCTGGACCCCAGATCTCCACATCCCAGAATCCACTGATGGCTCCCGGGAGTGTGTCTTAAATCCATCTCTTGAGATATAAAAGAGCAGATTAAGCAAGCAAGCACAGCGGGGAAGATACACATCACATGATCGTCAAATAGCCTATGGATAAAAGCTGAAGAGACAAGGACCTATTGACGTCAAGTCGATTCTGACTCATAGAGTTTCCAAGGAGAGGCTGGTGGATCCAAACTGCTGACTGTTTGGTTAGTAGCCGAGCTCTTAACTACTGTGCCACCAGAACTCCATATATTCCCTTAAACCAAAAAAAAAAAAACTCAAACCCGTTGCCGCCGACTCGATTCCGTCTCATAGTATAGTACAGGGTCGCTATGAGTTGGAATCTACTGGATGGTAACAGATGTTCCCCTAGGGTTGTAAAAATCTCAGCACTACTGGGCTTCCCTGCACCTGGGCTGAGTAGGTTCCAAAAGGAGGGAAGAAGACCTCAGCAGAGAGTCAGAGAACAAGCTCCTGGGGTGGAGCTGTCAGCGTTCAAGGGAAGTGCCCTTCTCCGGAACTCAGAGGTGGGGAGTCGGGGGCTGGACATCATAGTCGTCTGATATGCCAGGTCAGCAGTGATCAGAGAGATGATACAAAGTTATGTTTCATTTAATAATATTCTCCTGAAGATGCATGAAAGAAAAATATTTCAAAAAGTTTACAAAACATATTTGAAGAAGGAAATAGTTGGTGCCAAAATAAAAACAAATTGACTAATTTGCAACATCCACACGAGACACACTTTGCCTCCAATGCACGTGCACAGACCACACATATGCATATATCAAGGAACGAATGTGTGTGAATTAATCAACAGACATTCCCAATCAAAGAGGGTGTGTACATAAGTCGAAGGAAGTGTGCTTTCATAGTTTGTGGTCTCTCTAGAAAGAAACCTAATGATTACAAAATGGCAAGTGTGATTTACATTGATAAAATCATCGAAGTAATCAGATGTGAACAGATGAACAAGTGTGGAAAGATATTAGTGCTCACCATTTATGCAAGTGACCATTGTTTCTGGAACCCACACTCTGTGTCAGGCACTGTGCAGGCCTTCCTTAAGGAAAGGGCCTGTTTGTTTTGCTCCACACAGCATCCCCAGAGGAAGATACTCAGAAGAAAATTAAAACTATTTCTCCCTCACTTGTGACTTGGAAAGGTAACCTTCCTCTGTTCCCTAATAAAAGTATAGCACAGTGAAAAACATGCACATTATCTTAAGATGTGAGGAAGATGAGAAGACTTTGAAGGTCCCATCATGCCTTCATTTCCTCCCTTGGTGTGAAGCGCAGGAAGCCTTGCAAAGCACCAGCTCTAAAGGCAAGCATTTTTCAGTTTGTCTTATTCTTGGAGGAAAGAAGCCTGCTTGGCCAGTTGGGCAGCTTTTTCCCGTAGAAATCTTTGCTAATGAGGAATGAGGTAGGAGTATTTATCCAAAAATGCAGAATCCTTAGAGGAAACAAGATTATTGACCTTAGATTCCTAAAGGGCCGTGAGGGGTGTTGAGCTTATTAGCATTAGGGAAGAGCCAAAATAAACAATAAGAGAAAATCATAATGAAAACCCTTTCATAATTGTAATAGGTGAGTTTGGACATTCTAAGTTCTGGGCTGATGAAGCTGGATTCTCTGGGGATGTTTTGGGGTCTGGAGTTTTGTGAAGCAGTGAAATGGGGTTTACTGGAGCCTGTTTTTGGGGTAACATTAGCTGGGTCACTGTAAAAGGCAGTGTCTTTGATTTTTAGCAAAGAAAATGGAAAAGGGGCTGTCCTGAGTTTTTAGTGAATCAGATGGACAAAGGAGGAATGGGGCTATAGAGTCTTCACTAGTCACAAGGTCTGCTTTTGGATAGTGCCCCTCCTGCCTCTGAAGGACTGACTTTGTCTCTCTGAGATACGTTATTCTCATCTTGAAAATGGGGTCATTAATAATACACAAACAGATTTTCATGAGGACTGAATGAAGTAACTGATGGGGAAGTATTTTGTCAAGCATAAGGGGATATACAGATGCAAGTCATTGGGTTTAGAAAGATGATTATGAATGTTCCACCCCCATGCACATCACCAGCCCTCTCCAGCCCTGAAAATATGCTGAATGGTTTTGCTTAGTTACCTGTTGCTTTTCTACCCACAGGCCAGTGGGAGGTGATTGGACCATGCAAGCCTGTCCAGGCCTTGGTGGGTGAGGATGCGATGTTCTCCTGCTTCCTCTCTCCTGAGATGAGCGCAGAGGCGATGGAGGTGCAGTTCTTCAGGAATCAGTTCTCTGCCATGGTCCATATCTACAAGAATGGGAAAGACCAGACATATATGCATCATGGGAGAAATGAAGGACTTAATTGCAGAGGAGCATGTCTTCCTGAAGCTGAAAGACATCACTCCCTTGGACGCTGACATGTATGGGTGCTGGTTCAGTTCCCAGACTTATTATCAGACGGCCACCTGGGAGCTGCAAGTGTCAGGTCAGTTGCCTTTTTTAAAAAAATAATGTTTTATTATGTTTTAGGTGAAAGTTTACACAGCAAATTAGGTTCCCTTTAACAATTTGTATACAAATTGTTCCGTGCCATTGGTTACAATTTTTCTGTGTCACCATTCTCATTATTCTCATTCTGTTTGTTCTGTTTCCATTGATCTAGCTTCCCTTCCCCTCATTGTCTTCTCACCTTTGCTTTTGGGTAAATGTTGACTGTTTGGTCTTATATAGTTCCTTGTTTAAGGGAGCGCATTACTCACGGGTTTATAATTTTACTTTCTTTGAGAGAGGAGAAGTGAGAGATGAATCTATGCCCAGAATCCCTTCCTTAGTGCTTTCATCATCATTCTTTCATTCATTTATTCATTCAAGAAACTTTTATTACGTTTCATGCACAAGTCTAGACCCTGGGGAAAGGCAGAAAACAGCACATAGAGGGTCGGTTCTGTTTGGGGTGGGAGATGGGCAATAACAACTGATCATGTGTAGATTACTTCTGTAAGGGAGGGATGTTCTCCTTAGCCTACTAAGTCACAAGCCTGGAGGTCAGGCTTAACCCTTCCTCAACCTCCAGTAAGTCCTACTGAATCAACCTCACAAATAGCTCCCACATCTGTTCTCTCTCCTTCTCATAGATTCCTTCTGCTCCAGCCCTTATCTTGTCCCACTACAAGGAATTCAGTGGCCACCTGGATGACTATTCTGCTCCTGAGTGGTCCTTGTGATCTCTCCTCCATGCAGCTGTTTTGAGGGGCTCTCTACGATACAGGCCTGGTCATAACTCGCACCCAGTGGAAGTCAGTTAACAGCCCTACAGGGCTTATAGCGCCTTCAGTGCAGACAGAGGCAATGCTCCACACGTCTTCGGTCAGTGCGCTCATAGTCTCCATAGCCTCTGCACTTCACTCAGACCTTATCTAATACTTATCTTTTCTTGCACCTCATAGTCCAGAAACACCAAATGCTTGTAGGTCCTTGTACACACAACAGCCTGGCAACCCTCCACACCATGGTATGCATTTACCCCTCTGCCTGGCATGCTTGTCCCCCTCTGCCACTTATATACTTAATAATCTGACACAGCAGTGTGCAGATTTCACCTGTGACTTCCCACCATTAATCACTCCTCTGTACCAACTTGACCATGCTTCCATAGTTGCACTTTTCACAATGAAATGTATTTGTTTACACTTATCTTCCTGTTTAGTCAATGAGCTCCTCATTACAAGGGGCTCTGTCTAATTCACTTTATTATATTTAGTGCTTAGGAATAACCCAACCCATTGCCATCAAGTTGATTCCAGCTCATAGTGACCCTATATAACAGAGTAGAACTGCCCCATAGGGTTTCCAACGAGCGCCTGGTGGTCCGAACTGCCGACCTTTTGGTTAGCAACTGTAGCCCTTAACCACTAGTTGCTAAATGAGTGTTGCATAAAAAAAGACCATGGAAAAGCTTAGAGCAGCAATCAGCCAGTATGTGTGTGAGAGAGAATGAGGATGAGATAGGGAGAGAGGAAAAAAGAGAGAGAAGAGAGAGGAGAGTGGAAAGTGGAGAGAGAGGAGTGGAGAGAGAAGGAAGGTAGAGAGAGAGTAGAAGCTATGGTGTTTGATGAACTTGGCCCAGAACTGCTCTGACCTTGGGACATGATCTTTGTTTTTATCCCTTTTCTGTTTTCTCTCCAGCTTTGGGCTCAATTCTTCTCATTTCTATCATGTGATATGTTGATGGAGGAATCTGCTAGTCCTCAGGCTGGTTCCCCCAGTCCACAGTGAAGTGGAAAGGGCCACAGGGACAAGATTTGCCCTCAGACTCCAAAGTGAATGCGGACAGGCATGGCATGTTTGATGTGGAGACTTCCTTTACAATAAAATAAAATGCTGGAAATATATCATGTTCCATTCAGCACGCTGATCAGAGTTGAGAAACGCAGTCCAGTCTATGGATAGCAGGTAAGTGAGGAGGAGAAGCGGTGAATGCTTGGGTATAACACAGAGGAAGAACTAGAGCCTCAGTCTCAGGATTGTTGTTTAGTATTGCCCAGTTTTATTATTTTGAAAATCAAATGTCAATGAGGTATAAAAATAAAATCATAAAAACTCATTACATGGAAATAGAATTGCTTACAATTCCAGAGGCATATAACTAAGTATTTCCTTCACCACATGATCACTCTCATGGTGCACCTCTCAAAATTAAACACATATAAAACTTAAGAAAGCTGACTCTAGGACCAAGAAAAAAATTATTGTTTACTCATTTAAAAACTTTTTTCTATTGTTTTTCTAATCTCTATTTCATTTATTTCTGCTCTGATCTTTATTATTTCCTTTTTTCTAGGCCTTTTTGCTCTTCTCTATTTGTTCAATTTCTGTAGTTAATGTTTTGATTTTGTCCCTTTCTTCTTTTTTGATGTGTGCATCTATTACTATAAATTGTCCTCTGAGGACTGCCTTTGCTGTGTCCCAAAGGTTTTGGAATGATGTATTTTCATTCTCGTTTGATTCTAGGAATCTTTTTATTTCATCTCTGATTTCTTCTATTACCCAGTGGTTTGTAAGCAGGGTGTTGTTCAGTTTCAATGTAATTGATTTTTTTTCCTTGCTCTTCCTGTTGTTAATTTCTACCTTGATGGCATTGTGGTCAGAGAAGATCTTTGTATGATCTCAATGTTTTGGATCTTGTTGAGGATTGCTCTGTGGCCTAAGACGTGGTCTCTTCTGGAGAATGTTCCATGTGCGTTGGAAAAGAATGTGTACTTTGCAGCTGTTGGGTGTAGTGTTCTAGATATGTCTATGAGGTCAAGTTGGCTGATTGTGCCCTTTAGGTCTTCTGTATCTTTGCTGGTTTCTTTCTAGATGTTCTGTCCTTTACTGAGAGTAGTGTATTGAAGTCTTCTACTATTATTGTGTGTCTTGGTCGTCTAGTGCTGCTGTAACAGAAATACTACAAGTGGATGGTTTTAACAAAGAGAAGTTTATTTCCTCATAGTCAAGGTAGGCTAAAAGTCCAAATTCAGGGCATCAGCTCCAGGGGAAGGCTTTTTCTCTCTGTCGGCCTTCTTCTCTTCAGTGTTCCCCCAGACTAGGAGCTTCTCTGCGCAGGGACCCTGGTCTAAAGGATGCGCTCTGCTCCCAGCACTGCTTTATTGATGGTATGAGGTCCCCTGTCTCACTGCTCACTTCTGTCTTTTATATCTCAAGAGATTGCCTCAGGACACAATCCAGTCTTGTAGATCCAGTCCTGCCTTACTAACACAACTTCCACCCATCCTCCCTCATTAACATCGTAGAGGCAGGATTTACAACATATAGGAAAATCACACAGTACCAGGAATCATGGCCTAGCCAAACTGATATACACATTTTTGGGGGGACATAATTCAATTTCTCTTTTCAGTATTGTTAGAGTTTGTTTTATGTATTTGGGAGCCTTGTCATTGGGTGCATAGATGTTTATTATGCTTACGTCTTCAAGATGGATTATCCCCTTAATCATTATATAGTGTCCTTTTTTGTCTTTTATGGTGGATTTTGTTT